CGGCTCGATAAGACCCACGACAAACCCTTCCTCGCGGTTTAATTTCCAGCCACCTTCATCCCGACCCGTCTCGTCTCAAATCTCCGCATCAGTACCCCGTCGTTGCACGAAACGGCTTCCGAATGCTGTGCGCTTAGCCAAACGAGCTCCTGACGTTTGATGGGCACGTGATACCTCATGACAGGCAGCGTACACGAATACGTAGTCTGCCTGGCATCCAATTCTCCGTATCCAGGTGTCCGTAAACAACCAACTGCCAGTTTACCACCGGGGCCAACGTAGATAAGTCAATATAGCGGTCATCCGACACAGTGAGCCGGCAACCAGTGCATCGACTCCATCGGTCTAATTCCCCTTCTCAACCCGCGACACCCGCAGCGCCAACTTCCTCTCCAATTCCTCCTTTTCTTCGGCGCTGGGAACCATCCCCATCGCGCCTTCGACCTGCGGCGAGAACCACAGCCCGAGAGATGCCCAGGCCATGAGGCCGACGCCGAAGAGAGCCCGCGTCTTGGGGGTGAGGGAGCGGTAGGAGCTGTACCGGCCGTAAGGTTTAGTATCTGGTATACGTAGGGGGGTGGTGGCGTCTGGTGCGTACTGCGTACCTCCAGAAACTCATTTGGGATTCGCTGCGCTGCGCTGCGTCTTTGGCTGTTTTTCTTGGAGTCTTGATTGAGTGAAGTAGTACCGTAAGATTGGCCGCGGAGCATACCCATATGTAGTCTGGCTTTGGGTTTACTGTTTTCGGTTAGCGTGATTAATTGTCAATGCCTCAGGCAGGCGGGCAGACATTTCATCAGAGACGACGAGAGATTAAGCTCATATTACGGTCAATGTCTTGGTCACTCAGAACTAGGTAGGCATAAATTCTAAACTAGAAGCGAATGAATCTGTCGATCAACAAGTCGTAATAACCCTGGGACTAGATTCGACCTATGTCATATTGACCAGGTCCGATACAGCAGTAGAGCTCCATCTGTATACTCGTAGGGAGACAAGATGGTATTGCTGTCCAACTAGCAGGGAATCGGTAAACAGACACAGGCACCCGAGACACGAAAGCTGCGACTAAAGATAAGTGCAGAAATGACATGAAAGCAAAACAGTGTGCTAGGAACAGAACAGTAAAAGTATGTGTTACATCAGTTAGGGAAGAAACAAGGCAACAGATTCATCAGTCGTCCACGTCTTACTTCTTGCCGTAGGCACGGTCGATGTCCGCCCTGAACTTGTTGATGATCTTCTTGCGCTGCAGTTTCTGGGCCGCAGTCATGTAACCCTGGCATACGGTCAGCTCATAGTTTCGAGGAAGAGGGCGATAAACTTACATTCTGAGGTGTCCACTCCTCATCAGACATCACAACACCATTGATAATCTCAATACCCTTGAGACCGCCAGCCTTGCCAGCGCTCTGGAGCTGCTTGAGGACGATGGACTTCAAGTTCTCGTTGTGAACAAGCGACTCGAGGGTGTCACCCTCAATGCCATTCTCGTTGGCAATCTTCTTCAAGGCGACCTCAACGGGCACAATGATGGCAACGGGCTTGTCCTGGTCCTCGGCAGCATAGACACAGATGTTGCCAACGACGGGCGAGGAGCGATATACGGACTCGAGCTTCTCCAAAGCAATGTACTCGCCGTTGAGCGTCTTGACCAGATTCTTCTTGCGGTCAATGATCTTGAGATGGCCGTACTTGTCGAACTCGCCAATATCACCGGTCATGAACCAGCCGTCCTCGGTGAAGGAGCTCTTGGTCTCTTCCTCGTTGTCCCAGTAACACGTGGTCACACTACCCCCGCGGATGAAGATTTCTCCCTGAGGGGGATTGTTCTTTGTGAAGTAGCCGGCATCCGGGAAATCAACGAGCTTGACTTCGATAGATGCGGGAATTTCACCCAGGGCATCCGGGTTCCAGGCCATAGGGTCGTTGAGAGCGCCCATGGCGGAGGTCTCGGTCAAACCATAGCCGCTGATCATGGGAGCGATGGCCATAGAGAGGAACTTCTGAGTCTCCTTGGAAACGGGGCCACCACCATTCATCACAATACGCAGTCTACCACCAGTAGCCTCCTTCAACTTACGGAATACGATGGCATCCAGAATGGAGGCACCCGTGCTGGCTCCAGGGAACCCATTCGTCATCAGGAAGCTCTTCGCGGACATTGCACCCCAGAACAGGCCCCTTGCAAGGAAGCTGGCCTTGTTCAAGTTGTTGAGCACACCTTTCTTCACTGACTCCCAGACAGCCGGGACACCCACGAGAATCGTTGGCTTGAATTCGCGAATATCACCCTTGCAGTTGCGCATCGAGGCGTCCGACAGAGTTCGAGGGTTCCCGTAGCCCATTGTGCCGCCCCAGAACAAGCAGAGGTTCTCGAACATGAACTCCAGGATGTGCGCTTGAGGGAGGTAGGTAAGCAGGGCATCCGAGGGTCCGATGTAAGGGCCAACGATCTCGTTGACACCAGCAGCTGTTGAAGAGACGGGTCAATTTGGCCAACCTCGCAACATAGTTTCAATCGGCTAACTTACTGGCAGCGATGACATTCTTGTGCGTGAGAGGCACACCCTTTGGTGGACCCGTGGAACCGGAGGTGTACATAATGCAGCAGAGGTCCTCGGGAGACGGCGGAACTGGGTCGACAGGGTTCTCCTCTCCCAGCTTGCGCAAGTCCTCAATGCTCATGATGTTCAGGTAGTCGAAATCGGCCTTGAGCTTGTCCAGATCCTCCTGCTTAACCTCGTGCTCGGTGTTGTAGATAACGTGCTTGATAGACTTAACATCGCCGAGAACATTGCCAAGAGAACTGATAAGACCGGGGTCAAGGAAGATAGCAATACTCGAGGTCTGAATCAGAGAGTGCTTCAGTCCCTCCTCCCCAAGAGTGTCGTATGCAGTAACTATGGTCATCGATTGAGACGCAGCTCCTGTTCGGATCCAAGTATATTAGTCGGTGCCAATCGCAGGGGCTGCAGAAAAAAGGTGGACGAACCGTGTGACATGGCCAGCCAATGTGCACTTGCAGCAAGGGATATATGTCAGCAATCGTTCCTCTGTATAAGCACTGCCGGTAAAACTCACCCTGTTGCACCGTAAAGATGAATCTTGTTATCCTTCTCCAACCCCAGCTTGCGCAAACCACAGCCTAATTCCAACGCAAGGCGTTCATATTCAATAAAGCTCTTGTAGGTATAACCGCTCATCTCAAAGTATGTCCACTGCTTATCAACCTCCTGCTCCACACCGTCAACAGTTTTCTTGACCTTCTTGTTCTCCACATGAGTCTTGATCAGGCGCCGAGTACCGACGGCCTTTGCGTTACCGAACATGCGCGCGGACCGTCTGAACACATCGTAGGTGGTTGTGACATCCTCCGCGGGCCGCAGGATGAGGCCGTCTTTGGCCTGTGGCAATCTACGAGGGATGGTCTCTCCCGGTACGGGCTCGTAGCCGGAAGCCTCCACTGTGAATGGAGGCCTCTTGGCCATCCGGGGTTGGAGGTGGATGTCTCGCTTCGACATTTTGAAATGCGATCACGGCGGCCCAGGGGAGCTGGAGGACGGAGAGATCCGACGGCTAGAAAAGGTGCTATTAGCTCCTGTTTTGATCGACCGAAACCGTCAGCAGCTATCTCAATCACTGTGGTCTACCGGATAGTGTCGAACAACAATACAACAAAAGAGAAATATAGGTGGTGAGTGCGGAGACGATGAAGCTTCCAAGACTTACAAGACTGGAGGGTTTGGAACACAGGAAGAGGCGGGGATGCCGGACAAACGATCGAGGAGGAGTGGAGAGGGGATCAAAAATATATAGGGACAAGCGCAGACACTCAAGAAGATCGAGAGGGGGAAAGTCTGGGCGTAAAGAAAAAGAGAGCGGAGAGGAGAAATGAAGCTGCCCGGGCGAGCCAGTTACTACGCATGAAGTCAGAAGTGTTTGTGGCTGGGCTTTCTTGACAGGGCGGCCCAAGCTGCGGTCCTCACTACTACGACCTATGACGCTACAGGGACGGGACAGCAGCAACAACAACAACAACAACTGTGGCACTGTGGCACTGGAATCAGATTGCTTTGGTCGACGTTGCTTTTTCTCTATTGATACTATCGAATCCTCAACTCTTTTTTTGTTTTTGAATATTTTGGAACACGACACGACACTGACAGAGCAAGGAGAAGTATGCTGAGGGAGCCCCAAAGTTAACATGCACTGATCCAGTGGGAACCCGTTCACTGGCAGCTATGCCGCGGTTCGAGCGCCAATAGCTTCTGATCATGGCCTGGAATCAATCTGTGGTTATGATTCATTTACTTCATGACAGGCATTGGATGCTTTAGTTTCCCCGTAGTCTCACGTCTTGCTCAGATGCCTCCGTTCGTCACAGCCACTAAGTGGAAGTGTAGATACGGGGTAAGCTCAGTTCCGACGATCCTCTCTTTTTGTTGGGACTTTCGCCCAACACACCGGCGGACTCAAATCATGGTCGACACTCGACCTCTAAGCGACAAGTCTAGGCAGTAGGCAATCTAGGCAACTTGGAGGCTTGGTAAAAACTCTTTTTACTCTTTTTCATTCGTTCCTGGACGAAAATTCACTGGGGACTGAGCAGATGGCGTTTGGTCACGCCGAATGCTGCAGTCCGGGTCCCGTGACCTGGAGCTCTTTTACCCCAGACCAGAATTTGTAGAGATTCGACCAATCAGTTGCTCTTCTTTCTGGATAGCTTCAGAGCTTTGAACTGTGGTAATCAGTCTTTGTTCCTGATAATCCCCCCATATCATTCCGATCAGAGTGTGCATCCTCAAAAGTCACAAGCTGAGACAAGGAAAAATTCTGATCTACAGGGTACATGGCGCTACGCCGTTTATCCTTGACACAACAGCAGCTAATTATGCGTAGATACATCGCTAGAAAACAGCTCGGGGCTCGATCCTCCGAGCTCATGTCTAGATTGTGACTTGACTACTCGCACCGAGGTAAAACCTAAGAAAGGTAGTATGGATCAGACGGAGGCTCTGGATAATTTTCTCTCGTCTATTGGCGAAGAGGTGGAAGATGCCGAAGAGGGTATGTACTTGTAGCTGAGCCATAGTAGCGAAAAGGATAAAAAGACCAAGATTAATCCTCTCCAGAATCCTTCCTCCTATTCTCAAGGGACATCCCCTCCGCGAACTTAGGCTTCGTTGACTCCCGCGCGACAACCGTCGAGGTGGCCGTCCACGGTCAAGACTACTCGATCAGCCAATCTCCCACCCTCCTCTCCTCATCTCGAGCGGGAGGAACAACAGGCGCAGGTAAAAACTCCTCCTCCCAACTCTCCGAAACCATTCAGCTAACCCAGCCCAGTGCTATGGAAAATCACCCCGCTCTTCGCAGAATGGATCTCCGCCGCCCAATCAAACCCGCTCTGGAAACACTCTCTCCTGACCTCCTCCTCAACAGTCGTCGAGCTCGGCTGCGGCATCTCAGGCCTGATAGCGCTCGCCCTCGGCCGTTCGATACGGCACTACGTCGCGACAGACCAGGAATACGTCCACCGCCTCCTCCGCGAGAACCTCGAAGCCAACACGTCCGCAGCAGCCGCAAACACCCCCAAAACCCAGCCCAAGCCCAAGGGCAAGAAGCGGGCGGCGGGAGGACAGCAGAAACCGCCGCGCAAGCAGGACGGGCCATCCAATATCACTTTTGCCGCGCTGGATTGGGAACTGGATGTCCCGGCGTCGTTGAGAGATAGCATCGGGCTCCAGGGGGACGACGACCATGACGATGATGGCGCGGACGATAAAGGGTTCGACCTCCTGCTATCGTGCGATTGCATATACAACGAGGCGCTGGTTGCCCCGTTTGTGCGCACGTGTGCGGATTTCTGTCGCTTGAGGCCGGTCCATACGACGGCCGGGCGGCGGGCGGGTCGGCCGCCGACGATCTGCATCATTGCGCAGCAGCAGCGGTCTCCGGATGTCTTCGAAGCGTGGCTGCAGGAGACTCTGAGCGTGTTTCGCGTGTGGCGGCTGAGCGATGAGGCGCTGGGTGAGGGGCTCAGATCGGGGACGGGCTACGTTGTGCATCTTTTACTGTTGAGAGAAGGTGCTACGCACGGGGGAGGAGATTATAGATGAATGGATGACCATTCTGGCATTCAAGTCATCGAGTCAGATTCGACCCGATATAAGAATCCACAGACCCTCTGTCTGCCAGGTATCCCTTAAACGACTGTGTAAACAGTTTGCTGCACTTGCACAATCTCCATGGATAGAGCCTGTAAAGCAGCAAGTACTGCTTTGCGACTACCACGATCAACTGCCATCAGGGAAAAGCATGTCTGAGTCTTGGATGAGTGACGGCATGGAATGAATGCCAACAATGTTCTCGTAATAGAATTAAGAGAGGCATCCTCATGCATGGCAGGTGGCCTTCTACCACAAGGACGGCGGAGTTGGATACGGAACGAGTAAAGAAATGCAAATGTGACTTGACGATCAGGCCCATGACAGGAAATCACAATATGCTTGAGAAGTCCAGTCCGTGCAGGACCAAGATAGATCCTGGCTTGGGAGCTGTGCTCTTGAAAACCCCTGGCAAAGCCGGTATGTCAATTTGATGAAGACATTACTATTAGAGAACATACAGAGTGACACCCATCAGGCATAAAAGGGTATTGCCGCAGAAGATGCAAACAGAGGAACAGAAAAGGTAAAGGTAAAGGAAGCTAAATTATACGAGGTACCGTAATCAACAGCAGGATCAATACCAGAGGTTCGTGTTCAGCATGACGCTGTCTTAGTGCGCCTCAGAGACTTCCTTGGATTCTGTCTTAAACTCTCGTGGAGCAGGAATATCAGCTCTCTCCGGGCTGGATGCTCGATGCTGAACTGAAGCGCGCATTGCCGACTCAGAGGTGTGAGGAGCCACAGAACTCAGGCTAGCTCGTTGTCCTGCCGCAGGATCTCGATCAATGATCGAGGAGATAGATTGTTTCGTGAAGCCATTCAGTTTCGGAAGTGTCGTGGGTTCTTCGGGTGTGGGTAGAGACGCCGCCGGGGTGGGCAGAGGTCTCTCTGTCGGCTCCGACTTCACAGGATACGGGTGCTCTCGGCCTTCTTCTTCGGACGCGGATGAATACTCCATCTCGTTGGAGTAGTTCTCAGGATCCGTCGGGGCGGACTCTAGGCGGCTTTCCTCAGTTGAGGCACGATTCACAGACGAAACAGGTGGGAGAGGAGCATTGGGGTCAAAGACCACTCCGCAGACTTCTAACGCCCTAGACTGGCTTCCCAGGCTACGATCCTTGTGCTTCTTCGTCAGATGGCACATGAAGCCATGAAGGGTCACAAAATCAGCTTTGCCGCAGCCCTGAACCGGGCATGTCAGATAGACCAAGCTGCCGTCGGATGGGCGCTTCCACAACGCACGTCCGGAAGGATCATGTGCAGCGGGCCGTCCATGGCGTTCCCCCCAAGCCTCTACATTCTTAATCGTGTATTTCTGTTTCCGCCTGATGGCATTAGTCCCTGACGGGTCATGCTGAATATGTTGTGTATGTTGTGTATGTTGTGGTGGAGGATGGGGAGGTGGGGGCGCTTGCACCGCCGGTGGTTGTTGCGGAATAGGACGCGGCTCGGGGGGGCTCTGTTGCTTGAAGAACGCAAGGGTGGTGGCTGCATTCGTTTCTGACAAGCGACGAGGCGGCGTGGGCCGGAGAGGCGGCGAGTCGATAGTCGCATTAAACCCGAGTCCCATAGACTCTCTCTTTATACGCTTTCTTTGTCTACGAAGTTCCTGAAGGCAAGGTCAGTGGTCTTGTCACAGAAAGTCACCGCGTCACAATGCATAGCATACCTCTTCTTCAGCTTCAGCATGCTCAGTCATCCTACGAAACTCCTCATCTTCCCGCTTCCGAATTGCAAGTAGTTGGCTACGAGCCGCCATTCGAGCCGCCTCCTCCTGTTCTAATTGCCTCAAACGAGCTTCAATATGCTCTATAGAGGGAGGCTGGCCAGGGGGCCCTGGAGGGCCAGACGGACCAGGCTCCTGCATAGGCGGCGGAGGGGGAAAAGGACGGTAGTAGTGATGATGGTGATTCTGCATGGCATGTTCTGGAGGGAAAGTTTGGTTCGGATTCATTGCGATTGGGTGGAATCGCGGCAGACTCATGTTCACAGCATGGCCCTGCAGAGGACCATTGATGCCATGCTCGTGAACAGGCGGAGGCACGGGAGGCGGTGCGGCCACCGTCATGATGAATGAGGTTGCAGACTTTACCGGTGTCCAAGTCTACTTGAATCTCTCTTCCGTATCGAAGAGCATGCAGTCAGTTGTGGGCTAGCTTTGAAGTCGTCACTGGAATGGAACCGCCCCGTGAAGAAGGGGATTCGTAGATCGAGGCAGATCAAAGACTAGCACACAGAGATGTAAGTATTATCAATTAGATAAGATGTAAAAAAATCTTTGGACGATTATATGAGAGAGTACTGAGGAGGAGGCAAAGAAAGGCATGAAAATAGAGAGGAATGATAGAAGGGCAATGGACACTGGAGATTGGAGGGAAATAAGGAAAATACAGGACTGAAAAATCAAGACTTACCTACCTCCAGAGCAGGTACACTTGCAGACGGAGTGGATTTGCAGCGAAATCGAAGTAGGTAGTACACTCCAAGTCACCAATAGAGTCACAAAAAGTCAAAAAGCAGAAAAGAAGAAAAACAAACTGCTAGCGTGGCTGTTTTAGCTGCACCTTGCCCGTTTTTCTGCTTTCTGGTCTTCTAGACCATTGGAAATTTCCCGTGGACCCTCCTCCAGTTGTTGATTGACGCACTAAGATGATTACCTAGGTATTATCGAGTAGAAGAATATGAGTGGTAACGGTCGAAGCAAGGGATTCCTGATGGATGGATGGATGGATTGAAAACAAGGATTGAGTTTAGATGCTAATTGAAGTATGTAACTAGTAAATTGAGATTAATTGCAGGTAAGCAATCTAGATGAGGAAAATACTTAATAATACTATCTTTGCAATAGGCCGGGTAAGGGTAAAATGAGGCGAAAATATCAATCGAGTAGACTAACTAGATAATAGATCCGAATTAATTTGGACAGCTCTCATCAGCTAAAATGCTAGACTAGTAGATAGTAGTAGTAGTAGTAGTCCTGTTTTGTAGAGCAAACCCAGTTTTGACTTTTGTGGTCATCAGAATTCAGAAAACAAACAAGCCCATGGATCAAGGCTAGGACCTGCAACAGCACTAAGTTAGTGAGCTCCAGTATCAGATGCAGATGCAGTAGTGATAAACAAGAGTACCTACCGTCAATATTTCCTTGACATGGTTATGGATATTGAAAGCTAAGTGGTTGTTGATCTGAGACAGGGATGGTACTTTTTTAATCATCAGTAAGCTCTTATTCTTTACCCTGATAAAGTGTATCTGAGGTCAATTCAACTTGATCAGATGCATGTCGATAGTACAATGAGCCAGCCAAAGGGACTGTGGATTTCCTTGGCCGGCCTACAAATCAGGCGTAGTGCAATCAATCGATTATTATTGCATAGATTGAATCAGGGCTCCCTTTAAAAACAAGACCACTACTGTCACACTAGTGACAAACACAATCCATAGAATGTGAGGACTAAATCTATGGAGCCTTGGTTTCTGGATCAAGACTGGCTACTCACATTTGGCGGTGATGATGACTTTCAGAATTAAAAACAGAAAAGAAGAGAACAGAATTAATTGGTGTCTTGACCAACTAGATAGTACAAAAACATCCCCAAATCTAAATGGAGACTCCAGGACGGAGTCATGGCTAAGGTTTGATATGCATCAGAAGTTTCACGATCAGGTTTCCAACACAGTAATGACATGGATTATTCCTCTACATTCTTGACCTTGTGGGATTATTATGACTGATAGACTCGATGATGATGATATTAAGTGGTAATACTCTTATCTTCAAGAATGCTTGTGAACTCTCAATCGATGGGATATTTTTCGTTTGTGTTTTCCATCTTCCTCAAGGGCGAAGACAAAAAAGGTATGAAGAAAATAGCCCCTCCACCTCATTTATTTATAGTGGATAACAGCCAATGAGCATCGGGCGATCTACTTTGGTATGTCACACAATCAAAGGAGCTGGACAGATAGAATGCCATGGAAGTTGGAACAGTCCCGGGCCCAGCTGAGACTCCACAGAGTCCATACAGTGCAGCAAAATGTCTTTGATCTCTTGTGCAGAACCCCTGATCATAAGAGGAGCCAAACTTCCACTGAAGCAGGTCACCAAATCAAAATCGATTGAGGTTGATAATCTTCATTATGAAGAGAAATTAAAAGCGTCTTTGTTCCATGTTTCTCAGGGGGGTTGAGCCTTCAAAGACGCCATAATGTAATTATGACCAAGTGGGGAGAGCCAAAAAGTTGAATAAATCGAGATTATTATTGATTTATTATTGAGAACTGATCGACAACCGTACTCAAGATGATGGAGAGAAAGTTTCGCATCAAGGACAATAAAGGATATCAACACAATGACATGGAATCAGTCTCCCCAATGAAAAGCTACATTGCGCTTGGACGCGAGGAGTGTGTTTAGCTACTTTATTATCGTTCGAAATAATCATACCCTGCACAGGATCCAGGCCACTCTGAGCAAATCAAAAGGTAATCGGTATCAAGTTTATCTACAGTAGTGGAAATTCTCACCCTACAAAATGTATGGCGATCGATTTGGATCCTGGCTGCTTGTTGTGTGCATACTTGATTTGTTTATTCTTCTACATTGCTACTGCAACTCTGCAAGTCCCCCAGTGGAGACTAGGTAGCTAAAGCTGTGTGATTCCGATAAGAGAAAATCCAGGCCTTGACAGTTGACACCATTCTTATAGAGATTGAGCTAATGTTGTCATTTACTGACGACATGATTAGATGATTGTGGTCGCGCCTTGGTTAACTTGGGCGCTCCCTATGGGTATTGGCTTTGGATATCAGCTAGACACTCCGTATTGGGTACGAATGGCCAAAGAGCACCTTATGACCACTAGGAACTCTGTCAAGTGTAAACGAATCCTATGCTGTTCAGTGGTGATCCACTCAAGTTCTGAATAAGTATAAACCCTTTACCCCCC